TTTTTTTTTTTTAATTGAGAGGTTTTTGCTATAGGGCACATACACTTGCCAGAAAAACAGAAAGACTGAGAGACAGAAAGCAAGAAATCACCCCTCAGGGAGGATGGCCACATCACAATCCCTTCTCCATTCTCCTCTCGGGGTCTTGGGCACGCGTGCACACACACATGCGTGGCATGAGTGTAAGCCACCGGGCCCAGGACTCAAACCGTGGTTGACTACATGGGAGTCCAGAGACATAGCCATTACACTAACTGCTGGTCCTGAGGCTTGACTTCTTTATTCTCCTATTTTAAGTGTCTCTTAGGAGGAAAAGAAAAACTTATTACTCCCTGATCCACCACAAAGTCATGTCTTTGTCCCTTTTCTGTTATTAAAAACTTAAAACCACTTTAATTTCCCCTTTCCTCTGCTAGCTCCCCAGTTGCTCTGGTTGGAACATTGTCACACTGAAGACATCCTTTTCTAAATGGAAGCCATGACTACCACATTTCCATGTTTCTTTGAACAAAAGAAGAAAATCTTACTGTTCCCTAGAATTTTTATATGCTTTAACGCTATGCATTTACTATTCAGCTTGGGTCCCAATTCATTAAAGGTTTATAAAAATTTGTCAACAAGTGTAGATGGGCAGAAAATAAAGACATCCTTTCTGAAACCAAGTTTACTTTTTTAATGGCAAATTCTTGGTGCTCTTAAGAGTTAGACTACAAGCTATCCATATATTGACTTACAAGGGGAATTGTGTTTTTGCCTAAGGGACCATTCTGCTCTCAACACCCAAAGGAAATCCTACAGCAGAAATTCTTCTCCTTTTTCCTTTATTTGTGATAAAGTACATGTGCACACATGAGAGAGAGAGAGAGAGAGAGGAACGTCCTCTCCAGGGTCCAGTCATGTTCTTTCCTCCAGTCTTCCCGTCTGTTGGTTTTCAGACACTTACACCCAGGCCCAGAAGGTTTCAAGCCGACTCAGGGATTCGGACTGTCCCCACGTAGGATCTACTGCTGTGCTGCAGAGCTGGCTCTAGAGTAGAAGTTCCTATTTGTAGTAGACAATTGGAAAACTTGAGGTTCTGTGTAACAGGGGCTCCCCATGGTGGTGATCATCTCATCAGGGTGATAGGAAGAGCTGCCGCTCTGCAAACACACCAGTGACCTCACAGGCTCACTGCTAGGTGTGAGGGGACACCCTGAAACAGGCCACTTAGAAGAGAGACCTGCCCAGCTAACCGTGTTTCTTGAAAATACACTTTGCATCCTTAGTCAGTATAGGTGTGCGTGTGTACACATTTAATCTCTTGCTGAACAAGTTGGTTCTTAGCATACTTAATATAGCTAATGTATTTTGTTCGCTAGTTATTCCTGCTAATGTGAAAACAAAGAATGCTAGCTTTTGTAGTTTTTCCTCTCATTAAATTTTTTAAAGGAATTATTTAATTTTATTTATTATCATTTAATTTGACCAGAGAGACAGAGAGGTAAAGTGAGAACTCAAGCCTCTAGGTCCAAGATTCAAACTGTGGCTGGCTATGTGGAAGTCCATCGCCTTAACTACCATGCCGCCTCCTGGCCCCATGCTCATTAACTTTTTGAAAATACAGTTAATCTAATTTTAAGATTTAATTTTCAGTGGAAAATAAGGATCAGTGATTATGGGCTTTCTGATACCAGGGAAAGTGCCAACAAGGAAGGAAAGGTACAGCGTGAAATCAGGTTATCATGAATGTGGTATCGCCCTCCGGACACTCTGAGGCAGTTGGCAGTTGGCAGTCAGAAGATACGGAAGAATCACAGTCACGGCCCATGAATCAGTAATAAGCAGACAGTTAAATCTTAAAAGCAGAGGTCATCCTCAGGGGCTCGTTCAAGTTAAAGGCTTTCACAATGTAGAGATGGACGTGAGCCTTATTCTGAGAGAAAAAACACTAAGGAACAGCTACGTGAGCCATTCTTGTAGGAATATTTGAAAACTAATCAGAGGGTTTGAGCCGCCAATCTTCTGCAGTTAAAAAGCACAGTCTGGAGACCAGCAGATGGTGTAATGGTTATGTAGCTGGACTCCCACATAGTCGACTGTGGTTTGAGTCCCAGACAGTCTTACATAAGTTAAATAAAAAGATTGGTCCACTGGGCCAGTAAAAACTGTTTAAAGATTCCTTCAGGATTGGGGCCAGCAAGTGGCATAGTAGTTAAGGTGCTGAACTCCCACATGGCCAACCGTGGTTGTAATCCCAGACCTGGCAGCATGCTTTCTCACTTTTTCTCCCTATCTCCTTCCCTGCCTCTCTCTCTCTCTCTCTCTGGTGACCACACGTGCCCTACAGCTAATTAATAATAATAATAAAAAATCATTCTTTTAGGGTCATTCCTGAATAGCCTTGTAAAGATCCAGAACAGGAGAAAAGTAGATGAAACCCTACATGGTAGACATAGCCAGACTGGCAGCTGCTTGACCAAGGGAGAATGTGAGACTGTGCATTTCATTAGGCTGACAAAGTCTGCCTGCACTGTTGACAGCTAGCCTTTCTTCTTACAGCTCGTCTGTACTGGGGCCTGGCCAATTTTTTGCTCTCCATTCAGTGTGTTTAAAATGATGATTTCTGGAAAAACAGCACATGGTTAGGAACTTAGTGGTAGAATAATATAATGGGGAATTGATCAAGAGGCAAACTTGATGAGCATTACCTTTGGCAGTCATCTCTGACAAAACTCCACAGTAGCCCCTGGTGTCCTGTGTGCCATCTACCAAGCACACGACACCTCAGACAGACCCTTGGTGTTCACTGATGTGAACGAGGGGAGATTTAGCCAAAGAAATCAATGGTTAGAGTGTGTACAACTTTAGATCGTTCCACCATAGTTACATATGTGTGTTAGTTTACAGAGGTAAGGTAACCATTTGTATTTTGCAATTCAAGATTTAATTACTTTTTTTTATGGAGAAAGCAGGCTTTGTGTTGAAGGATAAAAATCAGGATATGGTGAATGAATTCATGTTTTCCTTACGGATAAAAGAACTGCTGATTTTTTCCAAGGCTGAACATAATAATGAGCAAGTAAAAGGCAGTTGAGTTTTGCTTTGTTTGTTTTTTACACCACATGTGAGAGCCAATGTTAATCAAGTCTGAGAACTGAATGAGGATAATTTGATTGTGGGAAACCATGAATACTTTGAGAATTTATTTATCTATAAGAAAAAATTATGATAGTGGTAAATAGATCATGTGATTAGTAAGTTCTTTTTCTTTAGTCACTTCTCAGCCAGTAAAATGGAATGACCAGTGCATCAGAGATTCTTTCTGTCAGAGAACACAAGCATTTCAACCTCCCAGGAAGAGGACAGGCGACATTTCTACCATTAGGAGGCCAAATACAGCACCGTGTTGCCTCCTTGGGGCATCTCACTGCAGTGATTCTCCCGTTGGTTCATTTATCATTTGTAAACACCAAAAAGACACACACGCGCACGTGCCACAGGGAAAAACAACACAACTGTGGTACTGTGTTTATATATTTGAGTCAGGAGTTTTGAAATAGTGGATACCAGAACAGGTGTATTTGGGTGTTGAATCTGATGAACAGCCGAGTTAGCAGGATTCTCTTCAGAAGAGCAGACTCCAGGCAAAAGCATCATGCCCTCATGGTTCTTACCAGTGAGACTGGCAGAGCTATTTTTCTTTTTCCTTCACTGTAACATTTTAGACATAAAGACATTGCTGAAAATAATGTAAAATTTATGCAAATCTTGACAGTTCTTACTTGGACTTTGAACCTTAGCAGGAAACATCACATAAATGTATGGACTGTTTCTGAGCGTCCCCTCTCCCCAGGACCTTTGGACTATTACTCCATGGCTTCAGACCATCTCCTCTACAGATGAAGGCTCTGTGCTAGATATGTCTCAGGAACACCTCACGCAAGAAGCTGTCTTCCAGTTCTCTTCTGGACACCTTTTATCTGGACTGAGCTGCTGCTTTCTTTTGTACTTTATAGGGAATAAAATGCATTTTTTTCCCCAAGGTATTAGTGAAATAGTTACTTCTAAGCATTTGAAGAATTATTTTTTTTTCTTTGCAGATGATCACTCTTTTTTTTTGAGTTGCCGATGTGGTGGAAAATACAGTGTTTCTGAGGATGAAGCAGAAGAAGTTCACCTAATTTCTTGTGATACATGTTCACTAATTATAGAACTCCTTCATTCTTGCTAAACTCGTGCATGACTTAGAATCTTTAAACTGTGTATGCAGACACAGTGAGGAGAGAGGCCATTTGAGCACTGTCTGTTCAAGAAAAATTTTTTTTTCAGCCCCATTATTTGGAAGGAAAATTTAAGATTGTTAAATAGAGGCCACACCAGATTAATAAAAAATTAAGATAGTTAATTTGTGTATATTTATATTTACAGGTTGCCACAAAAAATAATCGAATTAGGAATTGTATTTAGTGAATTCCCATCTGAGACCTGTTTTCTCCTTGGTTCAAGTCTCCTCTTTCAGAGGTAACAGTATTATCAAATTCCTTTGTATTAGTAAGTTTCTGATGTAACAGACCATGTTTCTTGCTGCTAAACTGACAAGCCTGCAGCACACCTATCTCACATTTTGGGGTTAAAGTTTAATTAGAATCTTTGTGACAAGCATGAGCCTAGTTCTTCAGTCATGAAGGCTGGAGATGAGCATCCATGAGGTTATTTCACAGTTAGTAAAGAGGGCAAAGTAGCAAAAAGAAAGCAAGCTTTGGAATCAGAAGACTTGACTCCAGTCCTGGTCCTGTGAACACTGCCACCTTGGACTTTAAATGTAATGTAAGAAGTGGAAATCTTTGTTAAAAGTTTTTGAAATTAGTGCACTGCTTTTCTTTTCATTCCAAAATAAGATACAGTATTAATGCTGACATTTATGGATAAAGAGCCAGTGTACTGCTGGTATGAAATGGACTCTTATTACGTATTACTGTTGACTGCAGCAGACTTTAGTTAGTTATCACACCCTAAAAGATTCATTTTTAGGTATTTCATATTCTACCTATGATTTAAGGCAGAACTCACTTTAACAATTTTCCGGGATTTTTTATGGGAATCACAAACTTTTTAAACTTAACTTCAAAGAGTGGGTATGCATGTAACTTACCAGCTGTTTACTAGATTGAACTCCTGGTGGTGTCAGACTGGACTGATGAATGGAATAGTTACCGCTCTGAGTTGTGAATGTAGCTGAAGGATGAGGTCTATTCAGGAAGAGTGGATCACTTTAATTATACCCTATAAAACCGAATGTTCAAAACGTGCAGTCATCCACATCTCCACTTAAAAGTATTTTTATACAGGATTCCCCTTTATCTGCAGGGGTACATTTCTAGACCCCCCACTGGATGGCAGAAAGTACTGAACCCTATATATAGTCTATGTTTTCTTGGTAACTGGATGATAAATAGAACACTTAAAACAATATACTCTAGGGAACCAGCAGTTAGCGTAATGGCTATGTCGCTGGACTCCCACGTAGTCGACCGCGGTTCGTGTCCCGGACCCGGTGGCTTAAAACTCACGCCGGGCACGTGTGTGTGCGTGCCCAAGATCCCGAGAGGAGAATGGAGGAGAAGGGATTGCGGCGTGACCATCCCCCCTGGGGGGTGATTTCTCGCTTTCTGTCTCTATGTCTCTCTCTGTCTGTCTGGCGAGTGCACGCTCCCTACAGTGAAAATCTCTCCCCCCCAAAAAAAAGAAAAAAAAAAAAAAAACAATATACTCTAATAAAAGTTATGGGAATGTGGTCTTTCCGTCTCTCAAAAATATCTCGCCATACTATACTCATTTTCAAACCACGGCTGATGTGGGGGTGATAGGTAACTGAAACTGCAGATAAGAGACTAGTTATCATAAAATGTAGATGACTTACTTTGGGTTACATTTTTATCCATATATTTGAACTAATAGCTTATAGAATAGATGCTGCTTATTCTCTGCATTTAACAATAAAAATAATTAAAACTGAATAAAATAAAATAGAATAGTTTATTGGTAAGTACATGGTTTTAATGTCAATAATAAATTCACTTGAAAAGGAGACAGTAACCAAGTTAAAAGAATAAATTCTTGCTAATCATCAGAAAATCTGTGTCCATTAGGGCTGTCACGTAGAAAGCCAAAATCACTGAGAGGCCAAATCTGTAAAATCAAAATGTATTTGAAGACAGTTAACAAAAGCGATGTTGTATTGTCGTCATGTTCCCTTTTTCTATTCATCTCTTTTCTCTATGCCACAGAATTAGCTTTCTCCTTATTCTATGAATAAAGTTTTCTGTGTCAGAATAAGACTAAAGGAAGTAAGCTGTGTGTTTCAACCGTAACATTTGAAACAAATGTGTGTGAGCAGACCTGCATGACTATATGTGTATCTGTGTTCTCTCACTGTCCACAGTAAGATTTAACTATGCACCTTCAACTTAGCATGTTCAGGTTTTAACACTTGAATATGGCTTGGTTTAAGTGGAAAGAATCCTGTATGTTTTCCACCAGTCCCAGTATGTTCACTTCTGTTTTTCTCCTATTGCTTGAAATAGAGAGGAGGAGCCATGAAGAGTACTCTGCTCTAACCGTGGGCACTCGGGGAGTCACTGTCCCTCACCGCAGCACCCCTGCATCCCAGCTACTGTGGTCCCAGGCTGCTCTTCTGCATACACTTACTAAAATAAACCCAGGATCTAAGTGCGGTTGTAAAAGTTGGAGAAGAGAATTATGATTTTAAAGATTCTAATTAAAGGTTTCTTAGTTTGAACTTTTTAAAAATTATAACAAAAATTTATTTTCAGTTAGCTATGTGTGGCGATGGGATGGGGCAGGGCTATTCCGTATATACTGTTACGTGACAGCAGACATATTCATACCGTGTAGTCACTGCAGTCACGTGTCGTTAAGTCCACTGACAGCCTTAAGTGTTCAAAGTTCATTTCAAAAGAAACTTTTCTCCAGATCAGAGAATAAAGCCTATATTTTAAGCAGATAATAGTACCTTAAAGAAAATTCGTCCTCTGATAAGTCCATATGGAATAGGTCCGTAGAACCTGGAGTCTGTAGAATTCTGTAGATTATCACCTTCTAACCAAACATGACCTGTTGGCACCTGGAAAAGAAAAGAAGCCCTCTCAAAAAAGATAAAGCCTAACTTATGCACTATAATTTAAAAAGCATATCATTTGGAGTTAGGGAGAAATAGCTTAAGGTTCTTTTTTGTAAAATGCAAATCCTAAGATGTGCAGTTTTGCTTTTATTTCTTGCACAATGAGATAACTTTTACCAAATACCAAAGGGTACAACTATTAAAAGACCTATTATTTTATCTTTTTTGTCATAGGGTTCCCCAACATTCATTTGTTACACAAACCACAAACTGAGGTTAGAAGAGATCAAGACAGTGTGACAGGGTCATTAACGTAGTAGACTTCAAAAGAGGTCATTAGGACGCTTACTGAAAATGTGCCCTCCTGTCTCCACAGCGGCAGAGGCAGGGCAGCCA